CATACACTTGGAGTTAATATTTCCATTGAAAAACTGACATACCAGTAGCCGCTGATTTGAGCTAATCATTCCTTCCTGGTCTCACAGGGCAATAATAGATATTCCTTGAGCTGATAAAGTGTGAAATGATCTTAGTGCTTCAAGGGAAACACAGTATACCAGTCACGAAAACATGGCCTGTCTTCCCCCATCCTGCATCCCGACATTTCATTGGCTTAGTTATTTCTTCTTTCTCCAAAACCCCTTTTAGGGCAAAGAGAAATGAGGACCCACAGTAGCCAACCTGGTTTCCCCCCATAAACAAGTCCCCAGGAAAAGCGAGGGGTGGGTTGGGACAGCGCGTTTCTCATATTGAGACTCTGAGGCCCGTGTCCGAATAGACTTCAAGCTAATGATCTGGAATTGGGACACCCAACTGCCAATACCACGTGCTCCATGTGGAGAGTCTCGCCGAGGACGCCATTCAAGTGGGAAATCCCACAACGGCCAGTTGTATCGGTCTGGGGGTACCATGCTACCCCCCCTCCCCCAATGCATCCCAGGGCAGCAGACGTGGACGCCCGCAGACCTGAGTGCTAGGGGAGGCCGCTTACCCTGCCTGGGTTTCCTCACACTCCCTCAGATTCTGCAGACTGACCACTTATTTACTTATTTTTAGGTGTTTGCCATGGAGTGCATGCACTTGCCAGAGAGAACGATAGAAGAAGGAAAAGAGGGAAATCATCCCCCGGGGGGGATGGCCACACTGCAATCCCTTCTCCTCCTTTCTCCTCTCAGGATTTTTGCATAATTTTTAAGCCACCGGGTCTGGGGCTCGAACTGTGCTCGTCCATGTGAAAATCTAGCGCCTTAGCAACCACACTACCTGCTGGCTCCCAGGCCTTTCTCTTCTATGGCCTGCACAGCGAGGCTCTGTCCACAATAAACACAGAACTAGGGCAACTGCTCTGGAAATTCAGTTTGCCCACATAGTTGTGGCGAGTCTAGTTTTGTTCCTCCGAAGCAGTTCGAAGAGAAATTTATTTTTGTATCATCCCACAGAGGCTCTTTTTTCTTTTTTTTTTTTTAGAGAGGTTTTTGCTAGAGGGTGCGTGACCTCG